TCGAACATTTTGCGATAAGCCAAGTGAGTACGACGTATCAAGTTTGGCCTTTGACCATAAAACGTCCAATAAAGTCCATAGAGATAACAGGAAGAAACATGATAACCGATACTATAACAGCATTCCATTAGCTAGATATTTGTTGGAGAAGAATACTTTACTTGGGACGCTGAAGAAAAATACAAGAGAAATTTCTGAAGAATTTTTTTCACAAAAATTAAGAGCAGTTTAATTTAGCCTATTTTGACTTAAAAGAGATTATATAATTACCTCTTATGTGCCTCGTAAATGCGTAAAACTTATATTATTATCATCTATGCCCAATGATATGAAAACTAACAAACCACAGTTATTTTTAGATTACAACTAAACAAAAGGAGTGGTTGATACTGTGGATAAATTATGTTTATCGTACAGGCCGGGAAAAAAATGGTACCAGTCATTTCTTAGACGAAATCCTGAGTTAAGTGAAAGGACACCCGAAAATATATCTAAGGGTCGAGCAGCAGTAACCGAAGAAAGTATTTGGAAGTGGTTTACCGAATTACTGAAGCACTTAGAAGATATAAAGGCGACTGATATTTTGACTGATCCAAATCAGGAAAAGTTATTGCACCTAGAGGATACAAGAATGTCTACAAAATCGTAAAAGGCCAAGAAAAAGAGGCTGTTACAATTCTTGTATTTATATCAGCTTCTAACATCAAAAGATGTTATAAACAGTATGCCTGGTGGAAGACTGTTAGGAAAATCAGACACCAGGTGGATGAAATTAGATATTTTTTATGATTATATTGTTAAAGGTTTTAACACATGGGTGGAAAAAGAAAACATCAGAAAGCGGAAAACTTAACAATGCGACTCAGTGAATATTGTTACAAAAACGGTGTTATCCTTTACACACTTCCATAAAATACGACACATTTGATTCAGCCTGCAGATGTAAGTGTATTCAAACCTTTAAAGTCACAATGGAAAGATACAGTACACGAATGGGCAACTCGTCCTAAAAATGTTAATAATTTTTGGGCAAATCAACTTTTAGTCCATTGCTCAAAAAAATTTTAGAAAAAGAAAATTTGCGTTTAATAATCAGCAATGATTTTCTCAAGTGTGACTTATATCCATACAATCGAAATGCCTTGGATTACTCAAAATGTGTACAAAATATTCTTGAAAATCATCAAAATTCCACTAATAATGTTAAATCTCCAGACACGAAAATAAAGAATAGGCATTTGAACACCGCCATCAAGATAATTAATCAGCTTAGTAACGAGCTGGTTGAGGCAGTGAATATTGCTTCATTAGAATTATTGCCAAAGAAATCAAGAGAAAAGTACGAAAATGCATACAGACGTTTTATGGATTATCGCATGAGTAAAAATACGAGTTCTTTCTCAGAAAATGTTGTAATGGCATACTTCCTAGACCTTTGTTTAAAGATGAAATCTTCAACATTATGGGCCAATTATTCAATGCTGAAGTCAACCCTTGCACTTAAACACAATGTAGATATATCTACATACTCAAAACTTCGTTCTTTGTTGAAACGGCAAGCTCGAGGTTATAGGGCAAAGAAATCTAAGATTTTAACGAAGGAAGAAATTAAAAAATTTATCCAGGAAGCTCCAGATAAAGAAAATTTAATGATTAAGGTAATTTACAAGGTTTTAATTTCTATTTAGATTATAACTTTATTTATTTTTTAGGTGGCTGTAATATTTGGTATTTCTGGGGCCTGTAGAATGGATAAGTTAGTCCGAATGACTGTACACGATATAGAAGAGTTAGAATCTAAGCTTTTAATCAGCATACCTGATTCGAAAACCAATAAAACCAAGATCATTTGTAATTAATCAGATCTACTTGAATGTTTATCGAAAGTATGTTTCGTTAAGACCAGAAAATATGAACAGTGACCGATTTTTCTTTAAATATCAAAGCGGAAAGGGTTGTAGACAAGTGGTAGAAATTCAACAATTTAGAAAACTGCCCAAAATAATTGCTACTTATTTGAACTTGGTAAATCCGACAGAATATACTGGTCACTGCTTTCGTCGGTCTTCTGCAACAATATTGGTTGACTCTGGTGCCGACATAACTAGTTTAAAGAGGCATGGCAGATGGAAGTCATCAAACGTTGCTGAAGGATATATCGAAGAATCGCTTAACAATAAGGTTGAGGTGGCAAATAAAATTTTCACAGTACAAAATATTCAACAAAATGACACTTCCACCCTGCATGTTGTCCAAAATGTTTCTCATAGTTCTAAGAGTGTTCCTCCAATGTTCAATAATTGTACTAACTGTCAAATTACTGTAAATATAACAAATTAATCTTAAAAATGTATTCAGCAATGACTTGATGTTTTCAAAATATAAATTAATTCCTTATAAGCAATGTGTTTTCTATCATTTATGTAGAACACTAACAACTGTACGGAAATATCATTTCCTTACAGTAAGGAAGTCCTGACTTTTTCTTCAAGAAATTTTGACAGGAATGTCAAAATTTCCTGGCGATTTGCGGAAATAGTACATTGTTTACCGGGTAGGAAAAGCTTAACATTCCTGGACGACTGTGAAGATTGCTAAGTCGAGGCGCAAGCCGAGACTTAGCAACACAGAGTTCAGGAATGTGGCTTTTCCTACGAGGTAAACATACTATTTTTCCGCAAATCGTTTAAAATTCGACAGATATTGATTGATTTAAAAAAAACGAGATAATTTTATTCCCAAATAAATGGTGCTTTGAAATTCCTAATAAAATTACTTGGGTTACTATGGAAACGTATTAAGGTTGAATTGTCAAACTTGACGCTTATAAATTTAATTTATGTAGAACACTAATAACTGTACGGAAATATCATTTCCTTACAGTAAGGAAATGACATTTCCTTACAGTAAGGAAGTCCTGATTTTTTCTTCAAGAAATTTTGACAGGAATGTCAAAATTTCCTGGCGATTTGCAGAAAAGAATATTGATTGTGACAATTGTTTTACGTGGTATCATTTAAAATGTACTGAATTTCCTGGTTACGTTTATGACAATGTATATAATAAAGAGTTTCTAAGTCCAATATGCAAGAATAAGTAAGTGGCTGACTACAGGGTAGACATGGCTGACTGGCGGAGATATGAGGCTGACTACAGGTGAAAAGTGCCATATTTTTTAAGTGTTGTTTTCTTTTATAATTATAACATTTAATTTAATTTAATAAACAAAGTTTCTGATAAAAATATATTTTTTTATTTAACGCATTTATTTTTTTATATGCAATTGAAACAAATTAGGATTCTCATTAAAAGGCTGACTACTGGGTGTTTTACCCTATGTGTACTAATATGTGTACAAATTTTGAAGTTTCTATAAAAAGCCACGGTTTTTTATAGACAGTAGCCCTACTATATTATCATTATTGATTTCCTGATATATAGTCCGTCTAGAAAGTATCCGGAATTTTATATTTTTTCTAATTTTAATAGATTTCCTTTTTATAACATTTTAAGAGAAAAGTAATGCATCAAGTAGGTTGTGCCGATAGTAGGTTATGGATAAAATTGCATGACAACACCATCTGTCAAATATTGTTGTTTGTAAACATACTTAAGATTTGTGAAATAATGTCGCAAGTAGAAAAAAGAAAAGTGGTGGAATATTTATATAGAAAGGGTATCTGAAACGTTAAAAAATTAGTGCAGTTTACTGAACTCGGAAAAAGTGCAGTGTATGAGACAATAAAACGGATAAAAAATGGAATAGATATGAGACAGACCAGTTTCAGGTAAAGCGCGTAAGATTCGCGTAAACAATTTAAATGCTTTAGTGGCTTTAATCCAAAAAAAAATCATCACAATGACACCTCTGCAAACGCAACGAAGAATAGATTTTTGTCAACGTTTTCGGGAAGATAATTTTAATAATCTTGTAGTCTTTATATCTGATAAAAGTTGTTTCCAGCTTGGTGCAAATCATTTAAAAGTCCTATCAAGAGAAAATGTTACCGTTCAAATTTCCAAATTTCCCACTGAAATAATGGTTTGGAGAACAATGTATCAGTGTGGTGCTACACCTTTCTGTATAGTTATGGTACTGTTGATAGTGCGAAATATTGTTACATCCTAAATGGTTTTCTTTTTAAAACGGCTCATGTTTTCTATCTAGAGGGGTGGCGTTTTCAGCAAGATTATGCAAGATGTCATACTTCTGGTTATATTCAAGCTTGGATGCAAGAACACGAATTGGGAACAATTCCGTGGCCAGCAGCTTCTCCAGATCCATTGAAAACATGTGGGTACTGATGAAAATTAAGTGGGACGAGCAGCGCCACGAAATAAAGAAGGTTTGATTCGGTCAGTTTTACAGGCCTGTAACACCATTACCGAAAATTATGGTCTTGACCTAGTTTCGGGTGTACCAGGAGGTTTAGTTAAGTGTTTTTATTTAAATGGAGGTTATATAAGTAAATGGGATGAATTATTTGTTGAAATTTTATATTTCAAATGATTGAGATAAATACCGTAAAATTATAACTCTGCTTTCTTTTTTCCGGATACTTTCTAGACGGACTATATTTAGTATGCTTCATTGCTTCTAACATGTTTTTCGATTTTTTTCCTCATTCTAATTATCCCCAAGATACAATTATTTATGTTAATAAGATGCTGTGTTTAGATGATGGTTTGGAATTTGGCATAACAGTTCTTTTAATTAATTATTTTGAATATATCGATATATTGTCTGTTTTTTTAATATTGGATGATATATTACATAAATGTATTGCCCAACTACAGTTTTATAAACAAAATAATCAATTATTCAAGGTATCAGTTTGAATATTATCCTACTTTAACCATAACCTTACATTAATAATATATGTTTTTGTTTAAAAAGATATTGATATTGATTGACCTATAACTTTTTCCAATATTTAACATAGATAAAAATAATATATTCAGCTAATATTTGTGTTTTTAGTTCATGTTATAATATAATCGTTAATTTATATTATTTGCTATCAGTGTTTATTAGTTTAATTAGTGTTAAATTCACCTAATATAAAAGCAGACTAACACTTTGTTCTTCAAACCAGTTTCAACTTTTGTACCAGTCAGTTTTTTTTATAGAATACGAATTCACAATGAAGTTTATCGTACTTTTTGCCTTAGTACTTTACTGCTCTTTGGAAGTTTCAGGTAATCAAATCGCATCGTTTATCATTATTAATCAAGTCGCATAGTCCAAAGTTAAAAGGTCATTTTTATCTGAATTGAATTTGCACATAACCGTTAAATATCTACTACTTTTAATTTTTTTTTTTTTGAATTGTAGGACTTCCTAATCCAGCTTGTGCTGGTGTACAGTGCTCTCCTCCACAATGCGGACTTGGTGCTCGTCTAAAACTGAAGGAAGGTGCTTGTTGTCCCACATGCGAAGGATTCGGTAAGAATGTTATTCGTTATAGTATATTAAAGTATAAGTAGATATTGAGGTATTTAAAACACGCGCGATTTTTTGAAATAGAGCAAGTGTTTTAAAGACCAGTTATCCACGAATACTGAACGCTATTTTATTTATCGGTATATTTTGAAATCATCGTCGCTTTAAATAGAAAACCTCGTATATCACAAAGACCAAACTTTACAGGAGAAAGTAAAAACTGATTAGCCGCCTTGAAATAGAATGCTTAATAAATTTTCTTGAAAGACTAAATAATGATATTGCATTTAGAATAAACATACTACAGTTTTATGTGTAACCTATTGTTATTACGTTTCTTCTTTCTTCCTATTTTATAATTCGGCTTAATGCCTGTTTTACTTCGGTTTTTAGCCTGAATTAAAGTTGTCTGGCCATTTTTTTCTCGGTCGTCCCAATGATCTTCCATTTGGCGATTTGTCTTTTGCTATTCGTACTATTCTATTATCTGTCATTATTTCGATGTGTTGATTCCATTCCACTTTGCTTCTTTTGGTCCACGCCTGTATTTCCTCTATACCACATCTCGCTCGTATTTCCTCACCAACTTTAAGAGACTTCCTCTGTCTCTTAGAGTTTGGTTTGTTATTTTTCGTAAGACTTTTATTTTTGTTGTTGCCAGCAGTATTTGTGTTTTAGCCGTATCTGCTCTTGTTTACGCTGTGTACGTCATTATCGATCTTGTTGTTGATTTATATATCCTGGTTTTCGTTTTCGTTGTGAGGTATTTGTTCCTCCAAATTGTGTTGTTAAGATACCCTGTTGCTCTGTTTGTCATGTTCACTTGTTTTTGTACTTCTTCTTCCACTTTTCCGTAGCTTGACAGTTTTATTCCCAAGTATTTAGTTTCCACCATGTTGTTAATGAGCGCCGTATCTTCGAATTCTTTAATTAATAAAAACAAAAAGAGAAACCATACAGCACCAACAACGACATTTTCATTTCTAAAAATGATACGAGCCGTTCACCGTGCTTCGAATGGAACGTAAAGCTATCGGTTCCCCGCGTACGATATTATTATTATTATTATTTTATTAGTATTAAAATTATAACAATAAATGTCTATCCATTTTGAAAGAAAGATTAAGGAAAATACAAATGCAAACATTGATTCATATTAAGATACATTATTTTAAAATACATGAGCACACACTTCCGCTACAAATAATGCTGGAGTTTTTCATGTAGTGAGGAAGGCTATCATAATATATCTATATATACAGGGTGTCCCAGACTAATTTACCCACGCTATATCTTCTTAAACGAATAGAGATTTTCGAATGGGACAAAAAGTGGTCTATTCTATTTGTAATACACTTAAATATGGCGTAGAAAAAAATCATCCCCTAAATATTAATCCCTTAGCTACAACCCCTAACTTTAATTTTGTTAATAGCACCCTGTATATTTTTTTATAGTTTTGGATGTGGTCTTCTATCGTCTATTCAACAGATTTATTAAAAATAAAATCGGTTTGTAAATAATCAAGAAATCAATTAATTTTTTATTTTTGTTAATTAAGAGTCCCAGACTAATTTATCCAGGCTATATTTATTAACAAAATGGAGATTTTATAAAGGGTCAAAAACTCGTCTATTCCATTTGTAATACACTTTAATATAGCAAAGAAAAAATCATCCCCTAAATATTCATCCCTTAGTTACAACCCCTAACTTTAATTTTTTTAATAGCACCCTGTATATTTTTTTATAGTTTTGGATATGGTCTTCTATTGTCTATTCAACAGATTTATTAAAAATAAAATCGTTTTGTAAATAATCAAGAAATCAATTAATTTTTTTATTTTTGTTAATTAAGTGTCCCAGACTAAATTATGTCCAGGCTATATTTCTCAACAAAATACGAGATTTTTTAAAGGAACAAAAACTGGTATATTCCATTTGTAATACATTTTAACACAGCGAAGAAAAAATCATCCCCTAAATATTCATCCCATAGTTACAACCCCTAACTTAAATTTTTTAATGGCACCCTGTACATTGTTTATAGTTTCATATGTGGTCTTCTATCGTCTATTTAATCGATTTTTTAAAAATAAAATGGGTTGTAAAAAGGTATCAAGAAAATATCAGTTTATTTTTTATTTTTGTTAAATTAATCAAGATAGCCTTAAAAAATAGAATAGAAAAGAAATATTAGTAGTATAACTTCTTACACACCCTTTTTATTTAAATATTATTTTTAATTTTTCAAAATTTGGTCTTTGTAGGAGCATACGTTATCTTCCAGTGTGGTTGATGTTATGTTCCGTTGATTAATTTAACAAAAATAAAAAATAAACTAATATTTTCTTGATACCTTACAAACCCATTTTATTTAAAAAAAAATCGGTTAAATAGACGATAGAAGACCACATCCAAAACTAGAAAAAATGTACAGGGTGCTATTAAAAAAAATAAGTTAGGGGTTGTAACTAAGGGATGAATATTTAGAGGATAATTTTTTCTTCGCTATATTAAAGTGTATTACAAATGGAATAGACCAGTTTTCGACCCTTTAAAAAATCTCTATTTTGTTAATAAATATAACCTGGATAAATTAGTCTGGGACACTTAATTAACAAAAATAAAAAATTAATTGATTTCTTGATTATTTATAAACCGATTTTATTTTTAATAAATCTGTTGAATAGACGGTAGAAGATCACATCCAAAACTATAAAAAAATATACAGGGTGCTATTAAAAAAATTAAAGTTAGGGTTTGTAACTAAGGGATGAATATTTAAGGGATGATTTTTTCTTCGCTATATTAAAGTGTATTACAAATGGAATAGATCACTTTTTGTCCCATTTGAAAATCTCTATTCGTTTAAAAAATATAGCGTGGGTAAATTAGTCTGGGACACCCTGTATATATATATATATATATATATATATATATATATATATATATATATATATATATCTTGGCAAGACAGATTTAATCTCCTATAGATCAGTGAACTGCCTTGACTGAATAAGAATTTTTGTTTTGTGCAGTAGTTTTAATGTTACATCAGCTGCTGGCTTTTTAATCCTGCACGGAAGATCTGAAAAATCATCTAAAAAGTTTAATGTCTACTTCACCTCACCCTCCAGCTTATATTGAATACATCTCAAATCAGTTACCACGGGATCTCCTCTCCTTTTTTATTTCTCGGTCGGATCGTGGGTATGAAATTCGATTTACTGTACATTTTAAAAAACTGGTGATCCAGGTAGTAAACTTTGTAGGGATTGGGGTTGAGTCTTACTGTACGGCATACTTCCACATATCCAGCAGGAGAGTATATTTCTCTATGTCTTAATTTTTTTCAATAACACTGTGAATCGAATTGCACTTCATTTGTGTGTGCTTTTTTTCTAAGTATTTTTGAAATGATATAGTCAATCCAGTTTTTTGTGAAATACCGAATTGGATATAATGATTTTCTATTCTGGTACTATTTGCCACTGTACGAAATCTTCTTCTTATGGTACCCTATCCAATTAGTGGATGTTGGCGACAATTCTGGAATACTGCTCTCGATCTTGTGTGGCTCTAAAAAGTGCATGGGCATCGAGATTTGTCCAATCCCTTATGTTTTTAAGCCATGAGTATTTCTTTCTTCCGATGCCTCGTTTTCCTTCTATCTTCCCTTCCATAATAAGCTTTAAGAACTGGTACTTGGAATTTCGAAATATATGACCCAGATAAGCAGTTTTTCTTCTTTTTATTATTGGCAGCAATTCTCGTTCTCTGCCCATTCTATTTAATACTTCGACATTTGTTGTGTGATCTGTCCAGAGTGTACGAAATCACTTTGTATATTTGGAGCTATCAATTTCAGAGGTTCTGAAATCTAAAATAACAGATGTTTACTCGTCAGCAGTTACTCGTCCCTCGGATTCTTTCCATAGATAACAAGATGCATTGTTAGATTTGAGGTTATAAATTGTAAAATTATAAGTTTTCAATTTCGTTCAATAGTACAAAGCAGATGCCTTTAATGGTGGGCATAAAGCACAGCCTGTACATCCATATTAAACACTGCGGTTCTATTGCCTGTTTTCTCTTTGTCATACTGTTTTTCTTCTCTTGCTTTACAATTAAAAGTGATGTAGTTACTTTTTCTTACTTTTTCACAATAAGACTTATATTCTCTGTTAAGATGTTATTTAGATTGCCAATTCTGCTCCAAGTACAGTTTCTTATTAGTTTTTCTACAATAGTGCAACTCTAACTTTGGCAACTTATTAAAGAACTCTTTGAGAATAATTTTACGTGAGTTATCAGAGTTTTTTCTTTCTCTCGTGGTTTTCAGTGATTTCTTGTAGGCATTCTTGTTCAGGATCTTCATTTATTTCAACTAATTTTTAATTCTTCTTCTTCAAGTGCCCTGTCCGTTGCGAACGTTGGCTATTAGCATGGCAATTTTGATCTTGTTTGCGGCGCTTCTGAATAGTTCGACCGATGTGAGCCCGAACCACTTCCGCAGATTTTGGAGCCACGAGTATCTTCTCCTGCCTGGCCCCGCTTACTGTCTATTTTTCCCTGGACAATCAATTGTAGCAGACGGTACTTATCGTGTCTCAATATGTGGCCTAGATATTGAAGCTTTCTTTGTTTAATTGTATTCACGATTTCTTTCTCCTTTCCGATTCTTTGGAGTACCTCTATGTTGGTGACATGTTCGGTCCAGGATATACGAAGAATGCGTCGGTACACCCACATTTCGAATGCTTCTAGTTTTCTCGTTAGCGTCTCCGTCAGCGTCCAGGCCTCCACGCCATACAGCAAGATCGGAAAAATGTAGCATTTAACTATACGTAGTTTTAGGGGAAGAGACAAATCCTTGCTTATGAGGAGCTTTTTCATATTGCTAAATGCTGCTCTACCTCGTTCTATTCTCGCCTTAATTTCTATGGTATGTTCCCATTTTGCATTTACGTTGGTGCCAAGGTACACATAAGATTCTACATGGTCAATTAATATGTTACTTATCCGTAATTGTCGAGCAGGTTGTTGCTTTTTGCTTATCAGCATCCACTTTGTCTTCTTGAAGTTGAGGCTCAAGCCGTATTCCTCACTAACTGAATAAACTCTTTCCATTACTTGTTGTAATTCGTCTATGGTACTGGCAAGGATCACCGTGTCGTCGGCGTATCTTATATTGTTCGTTAACTCGCCGTTTATTTTGATGCCTTCATTTGCATTTTCCATACATTTGTTAAATATTTCCTCGGAATACATATTGAATAGGAGTGGGGATAATATACACCCCTGACGGACACCTCTTTTAATCTGCACGCTTTCAGTGAGTTCGTTGCCAATTTTTGCTCTTGCTGTTTGACCCCAGTATAGGTTTGCCACAATTCGAATGTCCTTGTCGTCAATACCTGTCTTTCGCAGAATACCTATCAATTGTTCATGATTGACATTGTCAAATGCTTTTCTAAAATCTACAAAGCACAGATACACGTCTTTATCAACGTCTCTACACCGTTGTATAAGCACTTGGAGAGCGAAAATTGCTTCTCTAGTTCCAAGTGCTTTCCGAAAACCAAACTGCGATCTATCAATATTTGACTCACATTTATCATATATTCTTCTGTGAATGATCTTAGTGAACGCTTTAGTGACATGATTGATCAAGCTTATAAGCCGGTAGTCATCACAAATCTGGGCATTTGGTTTCTTCGGGATTGTAATAAATGTTGACTGTAGCCAGTTCTCCGGGATTTTACCGCTATGATATATGTTGTTAAAAAGTACAACTAGATTATCAAGGAACTGTTTGTCTGATTTACATAGGATCTTTAATATTTCGCAGGGTACATTGTCCGGACCTGCTGACTTATTGTTTTTTAGTGCTGCAATGGCATCTTCTATCTCCGATTTAAGAATTGAAGGTCCTGTTTCTCCTTCTCCATATAGGTGATCATCAGTCCTGTTACAGTTATAATTTTTAATTTAACTATAATTTCCTGTATAATTTTTAATTAGGACTACATATTTTTGAATTTTCAAAATAATATATAATTGCTTTCAGTTGTCTCATGAGTTAAGTTTCCTTTGGCAGCTACTTTTTTTAAAAGAGTTTCTCCTCGTAAAATATCTTCATCATTCAAATGTATGTCTTCAACTATTACTACTAGATATGGTATAATTGTATCGAATTCTGGAAATGAATTGGATATGTCCAGGATTGGTAATTGTTCCGAACTGTGAATGAAAATATCTTTTGTAGGTTTTGAAACCGATTTTAAAATAATGGGACGTGATAAAACTACTTACAGTAGTTTATAACACTTTGTTTATAAATTTATTCAAAACTTTATTTAAAGTTAGGAAGTGATTCACTAAATACATATAATATTTTTTTTCCGGTATAGCTGATAAATGAAAATTTGGTAATACTCGATGGACACCACGAGTTCGTACACAGTGGATTGTGGCACTTGTGTCAAAAAACCGTCTTTTTGATCGCTTCTGATTTAACCATCGTCGAAAGAAGACCTCAGAAAAATATGTAATTTTACTTTTTAAGGAATTCTGCTCGGAATTCTGTGTTTTTTATGAACTAGTTAATCGGTAAATATGATTAACCTTTCTAAAACCGGGTGGTGCGAATTCTCGTCCCAGTTTTAACGTTTTTATTAGATAATTTGTAAAGTACAATTAGCCCTAAGTACGTCTCATATTATGATAACTGCTAAAATTAACTGTTTATTTGGTGAGTTTCTGAATGTGACTGTCTTCTGTCTTTAATTTTTAATTCGTTGAATTGTTACTAAACAAAGTGTACAGACAATAAAAAGTTAAAAAAATGGTAAAATTAATAAGATGCACTTAAAAGTAAACCAAACTACTAAAAAAATAAAGTTCTTTTCAAATAAACTTTCTTCTCACACCAGTCGATTTATTGATAATTTGATATTAAGTAAACATTATCCTTTTACCTAAATCAATTTCCAAGAAATTTTCTAATGTCTTATAAACACTGGCTTTACGTACCTAAAAATTTGTAATTCTGAATTCCAAGTACAAATGCAATTACCTGATTAAATTTAAATAGGTACACAAAATTATGCTTAAAATTTTATTTACCAATCGATAAGAACTCAAAATTGCAATACGTACCTGGGTATTGCAATACCTACTATGTATCATTTAGTAAAGTAAATTAAACTTTGGATAGAATTTAAAATTGAACCTAACGCAACGAAAGACTAAGGGTGACTATTCGTTACAGCATTAAGGCATTACAGGAGGCTACTTTTAGAATTAGAACTGAATAACATATAAAAGAAAGGTGTAACATGAACTTAAATGTAATTTAATTATTTTTAAAAGATGTAAAATTGATTTTACTAAAAACATCAATGTTGGACATGCAATATTTGTCTTAGTAGCCATCGATATATCTGTCAAATAACCTACTATTTATTAAGGAAAATTATCAATAAATACCTGGCTGTAATACTAAATACCACTGCACTGAATACCACTACATATCCACTGTCACCAATTAATAATCTTGGAATTTTACTTTTTCCCATTCTAGCTCTTAATGCACTTCGATCAAATATTAAGCTATCATGACTTGACCCTTTTGACCTTGTTGTTCAGTAACAATATCCATAAGCTCTCTTCTGCGACCTACAAAAAGCTACAATTCATTCATGTAGGGCCTGAATAATGAACGTAAGTCTATATCTGTATCTACATTTGACAAATGAGCAATCCCATAAAAACTGGTTATATTCCTATAAAGTAGGATACAATTTGTTCTTGAAGTTCATACCCTGATGAAATATTGTAAAATTCCATTGGATTTTAGATATAATTTTATCACGAATATATCGCTTTGGTATACGTTTCGGACGATTTTCTTATACAATGTGATAAATAAACTCTAAAAATTCTTCAACTTATTTATAACAACCCAACATTTTTTTATTGTAATTAACAAAACTACAATAATTATCAAATCGACTTCGCAACTTGTGGCGTACGCTGACGACATAGCACTAATGAGTAGAAACCTAAACAGTTTAAAGGAATAATTTGCAAAGTTGTGTAAAGAAGCATCCAAGAGGAGTTTGGCCATAAATTAAAATAAAACACAATACCTAATATGCTCCACATAAAGTACAGTTAATGTGATAAGGTAAAATATTGGAAAATATGTAGTTTGAAAAGGTAGAACACTAAATATGTTAGAGTCCCCGTTAATGGAACTAATGAAAGAAGTATAGTAATAAATCAAAGAATTCTGGCAGGAAACAGAACTTACTGGAAATACAACAACTTCCTCAAAGATATGAAGCTAACTCAGAGTACTAAACTGAAAATTTACAGAACAGAAATTAGACCAGTAATCACATATGGGTGCTAAAGTAATGTTCCTGACACAGAAAGAGGAAGAATGATTGAGGATCTTAGCGAGGAAAATGATTCAGAGAATAGCGGGTCCACTAAACTTAGGTAAAAATGAATTTAACAAACTAATGAACCACGAAGTAAGAGAACTTTTAAAAGGAGAAGACAGATGGATGGTACATCTAGAAAGATGAAATCCAGAAGCAGTTATCAAGAAAATCACTCAATTAAGACCAGTATCAGGAAGACCACGAGGAAGACCTAAGACGAGATGGGGGAACCAGGTAATTGCGCATCTTAATAAGATAGGAGATAGAGATTGGAAAACCATAAGCAGAAGCAGAAAAAAAATCGAGAAATATTGTTATATAAAACCAAAATTATTGCGGACTGATTCCTTACGACAAAAAAATCAGAAGAACCCTAAAAGGGCGGCAATTACTCCGCTAGGAGTGTAGATACCATGATGATGATGATACTTAATTTGCTTCTTTATTGTTTCTATTATATTTGTTGTAACTGTTACTATCAGCGCTTGTTTTTTTTCCTCACATTTTCTTCTTATAAACATAATAAATATGTTTCAAATTTAATTTGGTATTGAGTCATATATTTAAAGTGCTTTTAACTTGGTTATTTTAAAAACGTATTTAAATTTATTTATCTTCCTGATTTAACATAGATGTACTTCGACCATTTTTAGAAAGTCATCTGGGTTTTTGGGAAAGGTTTTTGTATTTTGTAACTGAGAAATTCTATAAACGATTATTTTTTCAATTTTGGTTCATTATATAGATCTTTTTCTTTTAGGAAACCCATTATGTGAAGGTATCCAATGCGGTGTACCAAACTGTCCTCCTGGATCTATATTGAAGCTCAAAGATAATGCTTGTTGTCCCTCATGCGAACCATTCGGTATGTTTTTTTTTCTTAATTTTTCCTCGAAATTTGTATTTGTGAAATCGTGATTTAAAGTGAATGGTAAATTACATTCTGAATTGAAATAGACCAACAGACCATTTACAGTGGTTAGTCGCAAGCAACAAAATAAAAACGTTCATTCGGAAAAATTCTTTTATATCTGTACCAGCCGTCCAATGATACTTCAGGAATACTACAGGAGTCGTTTGAGAGTTCGGTTTGAGGAGGTGTTGACCAATAAGAGTTCTCAGCTACAACCTAGATATGTTTGGCATTCCTCCAGTAAGCTCAATAAGACATAGAGCTTCGTTAACAGTTTTGGAATTGCGTTCTATTTTCAGACAAGACCAGAATCTGTTATAGTGATAGGTGAGGAATTCGTATTTGGCGAGAGCTAAGAAAAGCTGCACAACTAGAGAATGCTTGTCCCATAATTTCTTTAAGGGACGTGACTCTAACAGGACAAAAGCACATCCCACGGATTTTATATCCTAATGTGAGATTATGACGACAAGCTGTGAATGAAAATTTTGTATTTATGGATGATAACGCCCGCTCACATAGGACTCAAGCGCTTAATGACTATTTTGAGGAAGAAATTTTTCGCCGTTTGGAGTGGCCTGCAATATCTACAGACATAAATCCCATTGAAAAAAACATATTCTCTTTTAAAACAAAACATATCTGTCAACAGTATGATATTTTATTTATAAATTTATAAATGATATATAATAAGGGTTTCCGGTAATAGCAAATAATAGCGAAAATTTTGGGCGATGCATAACTTTTGAATCCATTTGCATATAGCAGTCACAGAAGCCAGCACAAAGCGAAACTAAGAACTAAAGAACAAAGGGCTGCTATAAAGCTATTGTTAAAACTCTACGGGATCTTATAAAACGAAGTTTAAGGTTTGATTTGATGATTTCCAAACTTAAATTATTAATTTATCACTGAGTTATAGAGCCTTAAAAATGGCGATTTTTACCTTAAATTGTTTATAACTTAAAAATAATGCATATAAGAGAAAATTTAACACGAACACTGTTTACTAAGAATGAGCTAATTAACCTAAAAAACTTGTTACGGACAAAAAAATTTCAAGGACTAATTCAAGTACGATTGTGCAAAATTATGAAATGAAAATGTTTTTCTCAACAATCTCGTCACGATTATTTCTGAAACTTCCCATATCGCTTCAACAATTACATAATTTTATATTATAATTACCCACTATAATTATATAATAATGAAACAAAAATATTTTTCATACTAACTATTATATCATTTTAGGTAACCCAAGATGTGCAGGTATACAATGCGGTGTCCCACTCTGCCCAGCAGGGACAGTTTTAAGACTTAAGGACGGAGATTGTTGTGCCTCCTGCCAACCAGCACGGTAATTATATATATATATATATATATATATATATATATATATATATATTAATCTTGACAGAGTAAGGTTGGATTAGATTCAATATGAGTGTTCACTAGAGCTAACAGGTCTACTGGGCTCATCTCTAGAATAAAGTTGTCCTTCAAGCCCAGCCTTTTAGTGATAGAGATTTAGATAGTGCTTAAATTTAGAGATGATAGAGATTTAGATACGGGATTAGGCTCACTACATGAGCCTAATCCCATCGAATCCTAGGCAGTTAAACAGATAGGGTTCCACCGTCTCGTCTTCGGCGTCTTAAAAGCTGTAATTTGCACCCGTGTCCTGTTAAGAGACCTACGATAATTCGCAGAATATTCCTATTCCTATGTAGTAGATATTTGAATTTCTTTTTTGAAGCTTTATGTATAAAAGCCTTTGAATGTTTAGGGCCTATTCCATTTTGTCGTACAAGTGGTTACGCTTCATCTGATCACACAATTTGATATTGTTCTTTTAACGGTACTCCTTGCTATGCCAATGAACTATTCTGGGCTCTTTCTTGATTTATTTCAACACCAGAGTATCCAATTTATTTCAACACCAGAGTATCCAGGCATCCTACGTAAACTTACTTTTGTTACTTTTTTCGATCCTAATCAGATTCTGAAGATCATTTCAAACTAACTTTAAGGCATTTCCATCTGAAACTTTTACTAAGGCAACTACTACCAGTAAAACCCAGGCTTTTTAAGGCACAGGTTTTAGAGCTGTCTGTGTACCAGCATTGATCTCTCATTATGAGATTTGTTTCTTTCTAGAAAAGCGACCATAAGTTACTCTAAAATTATATTTATTTTAAATTGTATTGGCTACCAGTTCCAACTCTGTATGATTTTTTATGTCCCCCTAGATTTAATCCCAGTGTCGTTTTACCCTGATTTCTGCCGTTTTATTTGCTTTCTGCATGCTTCTACCTTTATCATATTCTCCATCCAGATAATTATTGGAGGAAGTCGACATCTTTCCTGTTATTAAATTATTCCTATTATTAAAGATGGCTGTCGTTGAAGCTTATTCAGCTTCTTTCTGGTGCTTTTTTATTGGAAATTGGACTACCATACTTAAATGTTCGAACATTTGTCATATGATCATCCAAATGTTATCCAGATTTGGTCCTCTTTTAAAACATACTGTTACTGTTTTAAAAGGATTGACAGAGTTTTCCCAGTGGCACCACCTAGTAAGGATATATTATAATGTTCGTTAGTGTGTGCTCGATAGATATTTTCGTATTTTTCGTTAACTATAATTCCTAGATTATTTGCATAAGCTGATGCTTTTAACCTCTGTATGCGTCAAGGAGCGGGATCAGGTTATCCACCAAGAATGATTACGAAAGGTGAGAAAGCCCTATCCCCTCTGGGCTTGACGTAGCTGTTTTAGACATTATCTCCTCTCTTTACAGATCCTCCTCCTCATTCCTTGACCCTTTGTCAGGAGGTGGTTACACTCTAAATAATGTTTGCTTGCTCCTTCCATTGGCTGCGATCCTATGCCATATGGACGGCTTCAGGTTATAATTTTTCCACTAGAGTTTTTATTTGGTCTGATCATCGTATTGGAGATCTTCCTCTTGGTCTTGTGCCTTTTACCTTTCTTTCTAATACCAATAGTTTCTTGTCGACAAATTAATCTTTTTTACAGCATTGCTTGATTCAGTAGCATAAGGTTGTATAGGGATCTAATCTTCTGGTGCTACTGTAACAAAAAGAGGATTTGTTGTACAATATGAAATACGCTTTTTATATATTATTTAATGTATATTATATGTACAAATAATTGTAAAAATTAATATTTTACTGTTTTAGGTAAATAATAATAAATCAAGGAAATATTGCAACTACCAGAAACAATGACTTATGGCAAATAAAATATTATTAATAAATTAATAAAATATGAAAACATCCAATAACAGAAGTTTTATTTTAAAATAATTTGTTTACACGTTTTATTTTATGTTGTGTCTTTATAAAAGTTTACACACATAACCTTTTCTGTTTAAAGCACGACACACTAATAAATATTCGTAGATTGATAACCCTCGGTTTTTTAAGTTTGTGGCATTAAATAACTGTCTTGAGAGGAGCTTTAAACAAAACACTAAAAAAATACAAATAAAAACACATTTACATCTCACCATGCCTAATCGACAAGTTGTGACATGCAACAGAATTGAAGCCTCCGATCGTAAAAAGTGTCAATAATGCACAAGCTATTTATCCATGCATATATAATTTGTTTATATATGCATATATAAACAAATTATCGAAAAAAAACCTTAGAAGAAGTCACAGGTTTTTCATGACTCTCTTGGTAAAGAAAAGCTATACATAACAGGTTCAAATGCACTTAAACTAAAAATATAAAAACTATTTGTATTGACAAAAGTTTAATAACAGCAAAGCATCAGTAAGCAATATATTGAATAATCATCATCAGCCTCTCTTAATCTATTGCTGGACATAGGCTCCCCTGTTTGTCTCCAAAGTGGTCTATCTCGTGCTTGCTGTATCCAGTTTTTTGTTGTCTTTCGTAAGTCGTCTTGTCATCGTGTTGGTGGTCTTCCTCTGCTACGTTTATCGGCTCTTGGTCTCCATTCAACTAGTTTGCGAGTTCATCTTTCGTCCTTCATTCTGGCAACGTGTCCAGCCCATTTCCTTTTAAGTTACAGCTTCTTTCAATGACGTCTATGACTTTAGTCTTAGCTCGTAGATCTTCGTTTCTAATCCTGTCCCGCAGAGTGGCTCCTATCATTGATCGCTCCATTCTTCTCTGCGGTACTCTTAGTTTTTGTGTGTTTTTCTTTGTGAGTGATAATGTTTCTGCACGCATTGGCCGAAAACTTTTATCTTCATATTAGTTGGGATGTCACTCTTAAAAACGTTCCTAAGAGTTCCGTATGCTGCCCATCCTTGTATTATTCTTCTGGATACTTCGGTTGTTTGATTGTCCTTACTTATCTTAATTTCGTGACAGTGATATATATTTGTCTATTTCAGTTGTATTTCTTCATTTTGTATTTCAAGGTGTTTACTTGTACTAAGTTCGTCATATATGTTGTTTTCGTTATATTCATTTTTAAACCTATTTTATGACAGGCTGTACTAAGTACTTTTGAAATGTATTTTTAATGTACCAACATTTTCTTTGTTTGTTCTAAATAGTCTGCAATCATGACTATATCGTCTGCGTAGCTTAGGTGGTGTAGCATCTCTCCGTCCACATTTATTCCTTTGTCACCCCATTCGAGGGTTTTGATCGCTTCTTCTGGAACCGATATGAAAAGTTTAGGTGACAACGTATCATCTTGTCGGATACCTCTTTGGATTTTTGTTTAGTTGCTGTTAGCGTGTAGTTGTATCGAGCTTGTCGCATTTTTATATATATTACATATTAGCCTCGAATATCGGCTATGAATGCGGCTATCGTTAAGTTATTCTATAACACTGTCGAGTTCTACTGAGTCAAATGCTTTGTGGAAATCTACGAAAGGTAACAACATTTGCAGATATTGAATAAACGAACTTACAAATAGGAAATAAAATAAAATTTACTTTGAATTCGGTGAATAGTAGAACGAATGATAAATTGGAGGAATCCACTGAAGAGAGAACGTTACATGTACCAGTTTTGACTCTTCAATGGGCAAAGCTTCTTCAATTCTGCATACTTTAGAGGTAATTCCATAATAAAATCTTCCTCTAAAAGATTAGGCCTACCCCTTTTTTCTTTTAAGTTGATCGGTGTGAAAATTCGAAAATTCCTGAATATGTTTTATAAATTGTAAAAAAGTAGTTTGGAGGAACTGCTCCCTTAGATAAGAGAAATTGAAAATAGACTAGGTCTTTTCTTTTTGGCTCCCTTTAAAATATATGTACCAATTACTAGGAGAATAGAGTGCAGTTCAAGAGGCTTTACCAAATAAAATGTCGCATCCTTCTTCAATGTTCTGAAAAAAGAATATGAAAAACGGTTTTACTCACCTGAATGTATCTTCAATGTGAAGTCATGTTGTAGAGATAATCATGTCACTCTAATTGTTTTGCCTCTCCACTGCACCCGCAAACTCCAGCCATTGGACAAGACTTACAAGGATGTTCTTAAGGCTTACTACAGCGAAGAGATTAAGATTAAGAGCTTATTTGAGATGCCAAACTGGATAGATTGCCGTTAATGGATTTAGGGCTACAATAATTGAAATTGAAGCAGAAATTTACTTCGGCAGCCGCACCTGATGATGCGAGTGATAAAGAAAATAAGGTGATCGTCGTTTCAACCACTGCTCTCAATTCAAATGAACCTACAAATTCGGACGATAACTATATCAATTCTAAGAGCACACCAGATTGTTGTTTCAGCCACAATAATTTATCGTCCAATTCTCCCACTCTTCCACCTGGGCCTAATAAACAACTTAAAACGATTCCTAAAACTAATACACAGCTTAAAGCTGTTTATTCAACTAGTTTACAGATTGTCGCTATTCCCACAACAAGCTTTTACAAAAAGTCTGCCACGCCTTCCAGAAGACCTTATGCAGGCTTGGTGTAAAAAAAAATTATTGAGAATAAGCCCACTCCATCAATTTTGTCCACATGTGGGTCTTCAAGAACATCTCTGCTAACACCATATGATCTTTCTCCTGTGTCATTATTAAAGAAAAAAATCTCCAATCGTGGGCTTAAGCCAAGTAAGTGTTTAGTCCTCACCTCACAAAAATGAATTGATCCAATCTCTCAACAAAGATAAATGGGAGCAAAACAAAGTAGCACAAGGCAGAGAAGAAAGAAAAGGGAAAGAAATAAAAAAGAAAAACGTGAGCAGGTTCCCAAAGTCACAAAGAACCAAAAAAACGCAATCAGGTTCTAGTAGCGAGGATGAGGAGGAATATGTGCCTGCAGATGATGAAAGCAATTACAATGAGTTTCCTTCTACACAGCTTCCACAAGACGCAGCTGACTCAACGTGTATGTTTTGCGAAGCACTTTTTTTAGAGGATATTCTTGATGAAATATGGGTCAAGTGCTTCAGGTGCCATTTGTGGGCACATGACAAGTGCGCTGGGGCCGAAAAAGAAGAATATGTGTGTGACTTTTGCAAATAGTTTTTCCCCTAGTAAAAAATTAAAAACTTAAGAAAATCAAACATACGTCATTGAATATGAGTAATTTGATATATTGTTTGTATTTTAAATATTAAAATATATTTGTCACGCATTTATCTTATTTCACACAAATTTAAGACACATTTTTCGGGGTATCCCATATTTTGGATCAATAATAAAATAACCACAAAAGAAAAAGGGAAAGGCCACAAATGCGATGGTCAGATGTCCTGAAGAAACACGCCGGGTCAAAATGGATGCAAATTGCCCAAGATAGAGAGGCATGGAAGAAAGAGTAGGAGGCCTATATCCAAGGATTGGATGTTTAGGGCTGTATAGATAATAAAATGACGCAAAAGTACAATTTTTCATTATTTGTACATTTAAAACAGTTATAAATTTTTTAATCAATTTGGACTTTGGGCAGGTTATAAGAAACTAAAGATAGGTATTCTTACGTACCTTTAGAATTAAAATAGAATTTTTATTGTTTTTTTTTTATAAAGAAACACAAAATGGGTAGCCCATAATTACATCCTTTCCTCTACCGCATCCAAGTTTTTAAGTATCAAATCAGATTCAAAATTATAAATAAAAATTAAATTATACGAATACCTGTTCGTGTACAAATACCTGTTATAACCGTATATGTATGTATATGTATATATATTGTAAGGTATTTCCATTCTAGTATCATTTATGAAGTTTTTTTTATATAAATATTGTCTTGAAGTGAAACGAAAACAATGTCGTCAGTGTCGGAAAAAATTGTTTTATTATTATTGACGGTTATTGTTTTGATAACAAAAGTAAAACCACAAGATGATTTTATCGCAAAAAATGAAGAGCCTGACTTATGCCGACATGATTGTTTTTATATTGGCCCTTGTCAACCAACAAATTGCAAGGAGGGTCAAGTAGAAGGGTATAAACCCGAACTTTGCAGATGCTGTAAGGAATGTTACACAAAATTAAGTAAGTTTTTAGTTCAGCCACTTTGTTTATACAAAAAATTAACTTTTTTTTTTATCGTCAATTATTTTACTTCTTCTTTTTCAAGTGCCATCTTCGTTCCGAAGGTTGGCGATCATCAGGGCTATATTTTCGAAAGTGCTGACCGAAACACTTCGTTGTTGCTACAGCTCATACCATTCCCGTAGATTCTTTAGCCAGAAGTTTCTCCTTCTTCCTATGGATCTTTTTCCTGCTATTTTCCCTTGCATAATTATTCGAAGCAGTTCATCTCTTTATTTAATCAATTATATTATTATTTTACTAAAAATAGATTATTCGGAGAATATATTGAATAATAGGGACAAAGGTATACGAGTTTTGTTCGCTCTCTTCTGAGAATACTTCTACTTCTTCTTCCTCTTTATAAGCAATTCTGCTTGTCATTGGCGTATTAATACCTCTATAGAAAGTTGTTACTCCATCTTTTGCGCAGTCGTCCGATACTTTTTCTGACGATTTATGACTTATTTACGGGAACTTCTCTATTATATAGTATGTGGATTACATCTTTGAGTCTTACTCTGTCAAACGCTCTCTTTAGGTCAATCAGACATAGAAATGCTGTTCTATTCTACTCTAATGATTTCTCAGTAATTTGCTTTATAACGAAAATTGCATCTGTACACGATTCTTTACTACAAATGCACTTGTAAAATTTGAGTTGTAAGTTTTAGCGAAGTAACTAACAAGTTTATACCTCTGTGGTTTTCTGGCTGTTTTTTATCTCCTTTTTGAATAGTATATTTATTCGCTCGTTCTGCATTCTTCTGGTATATTATTGTGTTTTAAAATTTTATGATTAATGTTAATT